GTTGAGACGAGCCTTAATCTTGTAACTCAGGTCTATGAATGATCACAATCTGATTTTTATCAGTGTTGAGACGAGCCTTAATCTTGTAACTCAGGAATCCTGACCATGTCTCCATTCTTTCTGTCCACTCCGTTCTCCATGTTTTGTGCGTGGGCTAGGTATTGCGGTCCTAGGATACACGGTTCTACAAATCCACCACGCTCGTTCACTTTACGTCTCTCCTCCATAAACTTTTCTTTGCATTAGAGGTAGGGGATTCGAGGTAGGGGATTTGAGGTAGGGGATTTGAGGAAGTTAAGAAGCTATTGAGAAGTTAGAGAGTCAGACGAGTCTGAGTCAAGAATCACATCTCCAGGAGGAGTGCGTCCTCTGACTCACTTTCATCATAAAATCTACTACTACTTGATTTACTATAACAAATCATAAGGAGTCTCCATCTTTACACCAGCTGCGAGCCCTGTCTCTTCTACCGCTCTTGGCGCAGATCTCTGTCTTTGTTCTAGAAAGCTGACGCTCTCTATTAGGGATGGAAAGAAAGTTGGCCCTCCTCTAGTAGGTCGCATCTCTACGGCTTTCCTACTTGAAGAAACCATAGAGATGCCCATTATAGAGATGCCAACTTCCAACCCTTAACTCTAGTTGATGTGGACTACCTGGAAGATCTTCTGTCATGGACGTTTCTCCACCGAAGAGTCCTGTCCTATGTCCTCTTTTGTGTGGAGGATGCGATGAAGATGCTGTAGCATTTAGCTTTGTCACTCGTTGTATTAGAGCTCAAAACGTTTCACTCATTGCCTTCGTTTCTCCATAACTCCAAGAAGGAATTTGCGAGAAATGACTCTTCGAAATGAAATATATTGAGCCTTAATGATATAAGACGATCTTCTTCATCTACTTCTCCTGAAGCATCTTCTTCATCTACTGATGCTTGCGACTGGGTGGTGGAAGTAGCACTAGTAGATTCATCTAATGCAGCAGAGCCCTGGTGTAAACTAGTACTAGTACCAGTGGAGGGAGACTCTGAATATGGTGAAGATGATTCTTGATGTAAAGTACTACCCGATCGTTCTGAATCTTGTGACTGCGACCGCGACGTTGATGCAGAACTTGTACTAGGTCTGTGCAATACCTCGTCTGACTCTAGTGGCACCTGCGTAGTATCAGCCTCCTTCTCGACTTTAATACCTGCTAGTTGATCATGTGCTGCTCTTGTAGTTTGTGCTCCTCCTTTGTGTTCGTGGTGAAAAGCGTGAGGTTCATGATGGCCATGATAATGATGATGATGCCCCTTACCACCCTTCGTGAAGAATGAGCTACCTCCGGTTCCTACCTGCTCACGACTAACAGACGCCAAGGGAGCAGTTGCAGCAGTCTCTCTTTCCTGTGCGAGAATCTCTTCTCGTTCTTTCACCTGTCCTCTGGATGTGGATTAGAAACGGACAGTAGATACAGATTCTGTCTCAAGGTCCTCGGAGAGCAGACTTCTATAATTATAAAATACAAACTTATTATGTCCTCTGGATGTGGATTAGAAACGGACAGTAGATGATGTAAGTATACTTATTATGTCCCCTGGATGTGGATTAGAAATACAAACCAAGGGATGTAAGTATACTTATTATGTCCCCTGGATGTGGATTAG